CTTCCTCGCATGGAGAAGTGTGGAATTAAATCAAAGTGTAGAAAGCGGGGATTTCATGGCCAGTACTGGACATTTATGTCCGACTTTGTTAAACGCTGGTACAATCAAAGCCGGACTGAAGGGCACTCCAAGTAGCACTCTCCAAACACTTTATAAATACCTTTCAGTAAAGATAACTTTTAATCTGTACAACATATATACAACAGTGACAAATATATTAAAAATTTCGAGGCAGCCAATTACAAACTTTAAAGTGACCTGGCGTTATTGAATCACTCAGAATTGGATATTAAAAATGTTGTGAATGATTTTGGCCAACAATACTAACATTGGAACTTTAAAAAATCTTCTCATGATCAATAAAAACTTTACCTGGTACAAACATTGCATACCGATTGTCGGAATATTTCGCAATTTCGCAATATTTCTCACATTTCTACGAAACCACCGTTTGACAACTTCCATTAGATTATGATCGGGCCAGTAAAAAAAAACCCGTATATTTTACGAAATATCCAAGGGTTTCAGTTAAGGTATTTAAAGTTAAGGTATTTCAGTGTTTCCACAGCCGTTGTCAGGGCCTCGGGCAAACACTGAAAGTATTTCAGATTCTGCAAGACATTCATCTCCAAAGAGTACAAAATGACGGCACTCGCTGAACTTTGACCTCATTGAAACTTTTTTTAGCCAGTCAGCTGAGATAATATGTTTTCTTTCGTCAATAGCTCCTAAACCAATGCGCGCGTATTTTTCGATTTCCTCCGCGTTTAGTACATTGGCACCGGTTACCATGGTTATGTTTTCCCGCGCAAAATGACGGTCACACGTTTTCAACGGTTACCCGCTGCTGCTTCACTCTGATTGGCTAATAGCGCGTTTTTCCCCCCAGGGACTTGCTCCATACGCGTGAAAGTTAAGTAAGCCCAAAGCCTTTGCAATTTTCAATGGCGACAATGAGCCGCTCCTTCAGCTTCTCCCTGTTACTGTACTCGGGCAACAGAAGCCTGTTAAAACAGGTTAACGCTGTCGGAAGCCTGTCGGAGTCTTCGCCGTGGCGTTGAACGATAAACGTCAAGTGCACCAGGCCCTTAAGAGGCACTCTGTCACTTCCCGTGACAAACATGAGGAAAGCTTTCTTCTGTTCCACGGTCATTTCATTGACCACCCTCCAGAGCATGATAATGGTGGGATGGGTGTGGCTGTACCCTTCGTCGTAGGTGGCTGCGACTTCAAGCTCGTAGAAATCGATCACCGGGCAGCCGCAGATCAGAAGCTCCAGTTCATCAGGACGGAATAGGGTCAGCACTTGACCTCCACAGACCTGGCATGAGAGAGAAACCGGTCCTTTGAGTTCGGTAGGTTTCATTTCAATAGCCACTGTGGTTTCATCCTTAGAGTTACGTTAGAACCATCTTGTACAGCATATTTAACACTACCACACGAAAGTGCTCAATAGCTTTCATTTGAATGGTCACACTTCAGTAATACACAGATTTCAATTGCTCAAACTTAAAATACCTTGTATTAGCAGCATAAACAAATACTGATATCAGCATGGACTGGTATTAACCTTTTTGACCGTTCAGCAAATTTTCAGTGGAAATAAATAAATAAACCCGAGGAACAACTTCCATAAAATTTCCCTGGAAAATGTTCACACTAACCTTGTGAAAGCCCCGTGAAAAGGCTTGGAACTGTCGTTCAACAGATTTAACAAGGAGATGATTGACATACAGTGAAACAAACTGCTCTCGGTTGCCGTTTGTCACAGAAATGTTCTCGCCATTAGGGAGCAGTTCTACACTTTGCAGGTTACCAAACTCACTTGAGGAAACCTAAAAATAATAAATTTAAAAAGTACTTTATTTTAGCCCTTTCCGATTTCCATTAGCTAGGCTAATTGTGTTGCAGTTTTGAACTAATTAGTAGCAAAGCCAAAAAGAATCGTGACCGTCCGCGCTACGTTGAAAGAATTTGAAAACGGAGATTTCACCCTGAATTTAACGCATCAAATGTTTTCCGTTCACACTACGCCGGCGGAATTTAAAAACGCAACAATCACCGGTCATTTTGGATTTGTGTTTGAGGAAAACTCGGTCAGGGAAATCACATGGTTTTCGTGACTATATCGTTTTCAAACGCTCCGTTTTCAAAATGCTCTCCGTCCGCACTAAAACGCCAAGCCGGCGTTTTCAAATTCCTCTGGTTTAAAGAACGTTTACGGAAAGCTTCTTTTTCAAAACGTTTTCCGTCCACATGAAAACGCAAAGCCGGCGTTTTCAAATTC